TGGACTTGCCTCAACTGAATGTATGAGGCTCTGCTGACTCCCTATGGGAGATCTTGCCCTGGAGGAGGTGGGAATGGGGGGTGGGTGGGTTGGGGGAGGAGTTTGTGGTTGGTATGTAAAATGAATAGAAAATCTCTTAATAATAAAATATTCAAAAAAGAATGGGGGAGGTTTTTTGCCTATCCCTTTGCTAGTATATAAAAAGCCCATTAGAAATAAACTTGAGGCTGCTGGGTATTGACCCAGGGCCCTCCAAAGATATCCTGTGTCTCTCTCTTTTTCTTTGTCTACTTCTATATTTTCTATCTAGCATTTCTCAATTGCTCACTCCTTGCTTCAAGGGACCATTCGATAGGTCGGGGCTGGATCTCAACACTGGGCCCCAACACTCCTTGTATTTACACCAGTGTCCAAAGATATGGTGAAAAGCCACCATTGTCAACTGAATTATCTTCCATACTCCTATCAAAGTCAATGGCATGATTCTTGTGTTTCTCTGTCACTGAAGAGAAAATCTTGAACTAATTTTTAAAGGTTGCCTTCCAACATTAAAACAAATGACATGATATTTGTGCTCTCTCCTCTCCAGTCCCAATGACATTAATTATGCTGAAATGACTATAGATTAAGATATTTCTGACATCATGGACACAATATTTGTAAGATGTCAAAGAGAAAATGAAGTCCATCAAGTTAAGTGGCAAATACTGTTTGGTTCAAGACTTGAGCTACTACAAAGAACAGTGGTATGAAGACAGAGCTCTCATTTTAGTGACAGATTAGGGACTATAAATTTAACAGTGACCTTGTTGGAGACCTGTATAGTATATGAATGATGCAGAGGTTTCTATTGGGTGTGACGTATTGTGGTAATACAGATAGTAAACATATACAGGAGTGCAAAACAGTTGGTTTTAATTTAGCTACATGCAATTAATACACATTAGTGAATGATGGGATAGACGATGAAATGACATCAAACTAATGTAATGATCTTATGGACATATTGACAGAACTAACTGCATACAGTGAGTTTGTAAAATATAATAATTAAATGAAAAAGGCAGACATGAGATTGGAAGAGAGCCATGATGGTAGTGTGCTAGGGCAAGGGTTGGAAGGAGAGAGCACAGAGTGGACATGGCTAGGACACACGTTATACATGGATGGAATTTTCAATATATGTACATATTTTGTATATATGTATATATTTTGCATAATATATACACAAAAATTGGCTTGGTAATTTTTTTTTTTTTTGGTTTTTTGAGACAGGGTTTTTCTGTGTAGCTTTGTGCCTTTCCTGGAACTCACTTGGTAGCCCAGGCTGGCCTCGAACTCACAGAGATCCGCCTGCCTCTGCCTCCTGAGTGCTGGGATTAAAGGCGTGCGCCACCAACTCCCGGCCCAGTAATTTTTATTTCTTACTGAAAAGGAAAAAAAAAAAACATGAGCAAAATCTAAAATGATTATACTTTCTATTCAAAGTTATAAGGTTCAAGTGGACTCCATTACACTAGATAGCTATTTGGGGTATCCTTTAAGAATGACTATTCCCAGAATTTCATATCTACATGTATTTGAATCTACTACTATGCCAATGTTCCTCCTTGTCTTTTATTCTTTATTTTGATGGAAACTAACTCTTCTGGGATAGCTTCTCTTTGGAAATATGTGAATTATATAGCCTCATTTTCTCATAAATGCACATAAAAATGAATAGACAAATAAATAATAATATAAACAATATATAACACAAATGACACAGAGGAAAACACAATGTAGGTGGGTTTCTGCTTTAGGTATGGGGAAGATATTGTAACTTTAAATGAGTAATTATCTCACACCTGTTAACATGAGGAAATCTATAAATATGTATGATGGGAAGAAGGAAATCCTTAGAATCACTTGATTAAAACTTAAAGTAATACTGCCATTCAGACAAGAACAGTATTGGGGAGCTCCAAAAATTAAAAGTATAATTATCATAAAACCAAGAAGTTCCACTGCTGGATATGTATCTGAAGGAATTGAAGTCAAGATTTGAAGATATCCACACTTCAGGGTACACTGCAACATTGTACACAGGTGCAGAGATATGGAACCAGCTCAAATGTCTATCAGTGAATAAACAGAAATGAAGAGTTGCTACACACATGCAGTAGGATTATCTACAGCCTTGTGAAGAAGGACATCTTGTTATCTGCAGCAACATGTATATATCCGGAGGACATTGTGCTAACTGAAGTAAGTCAGATATAGAAGTACTAGATGACACCACAAAGATATAAAATAGTCAAGCCATAAGACTAAAACAGAAGGCTGGCTTGTGGGAGCTTAGTATGGCGAGTGGAGAGGTTTAAGTCAAATGGTGGAAAGTTTCAGGTATGCAAGACAAGTAAATCCCAGAGATCCACTGTGCACACTGGTACTTACAGGTAAGTGTGCTGTACTGTGTATTTAAAGGGTTGCTAGGATACATATCTTATGTTAATTTTATTCTGAATACTTACATCACAAAATATTAATGACGAATAACATTTTACAAGAGAACAAAAGAAAAATTAGAGAAATGATGGATTTTTATGGCATAGACTGAACTAATGGGTCTGTGGGTTCAAACACTTATCTCAAGTCATCAGATGATAGAAATTAAATATGTATAGAAGACTGGGGAGGAGAGTATAAATGTTTGCTTTGCAAGTGTGAAGATAGAGTTGAGATCCCCAGAATCCACTTGAAAACTGAGAAAGTGTGATAATAAACATATAATCCCAACACGTAGCGAACAGGCACAGGGAATTCTCAAGCACATTGGCCTGCCAGACTAACCAAAACAGGAAGCACCAGGTTCAGCTGGAGAACTTGTCTCAATATACAAGGTGAGAAGTTATGGAAGAGGACACCCAGTATCAACCTCTCTGTCTTCCACACATGTCTACTTATACATCTGTGAACACATACACACAGATGATGGCATGCCACACATCCACATACAGGCAAAATGACTTTAAATTAATTCAGTTTCTTGTAGATTAAGCATACCTTAATGAGCAACAATTAAAACAAATAAAGCCCTTTGAAATGCAACCCCAAGGAGGTTTCATTTGGAAGACAACTATGAGTTTACTTTTCATACTCCCATTACAAGGTAGCATTTCTACTACACAAATTTGTTTAACAAATACATATGTAAATTGTGCACCATTAATTCTATAACATACTTCTGAGTCACTACAAATGAGTTATTTGAAAGAAGAAACACAATTTTGACTAGAATGCATTTAAGATCTTATTGTCTTTGGTATAATTGATGTTTTTGAATTATACAAGTTAAAAATGTAATTCTGAAGAGATAAATCAAGCTAGAGTACATCAAAATTATTTTAATTCATGAATATAACATATTTGCTAATTATCTGTGTTTAATTTCTCATGAGCCTTATTATTATCACCTACAGGAAAAAGTGGAAATATCTTAGGATAATGATATTAGTGATGTCCACATGAATAAAGATCAGCAAGAATGATGCTCAAATATTCAGTACACTAGATGGAGACACAGAAGAAACACAAGGCTGCTGGTGTTATATTTTATATTTCTTACACTGAGTACAATTGATTGTAATATGATTGATGATTATAGGGTACCTTCTAGATATATTTAGTCTTAGTTCTATAACTCAATCTATAGAATTTGATATTCCAATGTATACCTAGTTTATCATCAAAATTTTATTAACATCCATTTTCCACTTCTAAAATAGATTGTTGATGCATGCATAATTTCATTTTCCCCTGTCTTTATCCAAAGCCAGCTTCATAGGGGAACAACTCAACAGCTAGACTAGGAAACCATTTCATTATTGAGTAGAAATACCCTTCATTCAATGGCTGTTCAAGTTTTCTAGGTTCCTGTGGAACCAGGAACAACACTAGGAGATTAGAGGAGTGTAGTAGGGCATATACATTTGGAATTAAGAGAGGCTTTGGTGCCCTCTGTTTTAGCACTCTGTGAAATAACACATAACAGTAATAATAATTTTAGATTTTATAATCCTTTTTTAAAACATGTGACAGTAGTGTTTATAACAGTATGCAGAGGGGAGAAATGGAGTCCACATGCAGCCTGGTATAGACAAGCCCGTACTACACATGTCACCATCCACATCGCTCCAATGCCTCCCTGTCTTCTCCCTGTCTTGCTCACTCCCTATTTTCTTCCTCTTTACCTATCTCTCCTCAGGACTACTATACTCACAGCATGTAGAGACACACAAATAACGAAGATCTTTTTGTGAACTCTATAACTGTACATGTGACTTGATATTTGTCATCTCTCTTAGTTTGTACTCAAGCTTATGCCAAATGTGGATTATTTGGAAGCTGGTTTAGCAATAATGCTAGCAAATGGCTTCTGTAAGCAGATCTTACAACTGATCAGCCTTGTGCAAGCAGGACGCACTCTGTCACTTCAGGTCCTTCCATTTCCCAAACTCTGAATCTTTTATGCACCATCTCATACATTTCTGAAATGAGAATGAGAAATTTGAGAGTACTGGCCTAAGTTTCAGTTTTGGTTATTTTTTTCTTTCAATTTTGTAGAGAAGGATAATCTAGGACATTTGGTATGTGTCTCTGTGTGCTGGAGAGGTTACGGGTCTACTTCCCTTTTAAGTCTCAGAGACAGACAGATATTCCTGTTAAGGTGAATAAATAGGAACATGACAGAGGTAGTGAGTAGGCTCTCTGTAGAGTATTTTTAGTTCTCAGCCAGTCACACCTTGAACCAAACATCCTTCTGCCTAAATTGATCGATAGTTGCAGGGTATAGTTAACCTAGAAAAGCAAAGAGAAAGTGTGAGCTTCTTTACAGACTTTGAACACAGAGCCTGTGTGATTCAAAGGACAGGGGCAGAGACTGAGGAACAGCCCAAGGACAGGAAAGAAAAAAATTCATCACTCGGGAACAACTTGCCAAAACAACTGATATGAGGTACCTGCGGTAGTCTAGTTCACAGAGACAGTAGGATGCGAACCACCTGGCGAGGAACACGGGCCGAGTGCTCAATCCATGTAGACTTTCAGTTTGGAAGATGAAGCATTCAGGAGATGATGGCAGTGATAGCCACACAGTGTCATATGCTGCCGCTGAACTATGCAATTGACAATGTTAGCACAGGGCTGGGGATGCAGCTCAGGTGTAGGGTGCTTCTCTGTCACGCTTGAGGTCCCGGGTTCACGACCCAGCACTTGATAATTAAGCACGGTGGCACACACTGCAATCCCAGCTCCGGAAAAGCAGACACAAGAGTATCAGAAGTTCAAAAGTCATTGTGGGCTACATAGCAAGTTAAAGAACAGCCTGGGTTACACAAAACCCCATTTCAAAGGGTAAATAAACAGAACTGAGGAGATAGCACAGTTCGTAAAGTGCTTGCCTCACACACACAAAGGACTAGGTTCAAGCCTCAGAACCCATGTTAAGGGGGGATGGGGCAGAGTCACAGGAGAGATAGCTCAGTGGTTAATGCTCTGTTGCAGAGGACCAGATTTTGGTTCCCAGTATCAATATTGGGTGGGTTACAACCACTGTAACTCCAGCTCTAGGAGGATCCAATTTCTTAGCCCCTGAGGACAAGTACACACACACACACACACACACACACACACACACACACACACACACACCAACTATGTAGATTTAATGTATTGTAAATTATTCACAAGGCCTCACATATTCCAGACCATGGTATAAAAGCATTAATAAAAAATCAGAGTCATCAACAATGTGTCCGTGTTGCATTAAGCACAAAAACCAAAGCTTGGTGTCACCTGACCAAGAGCTGGCACAGATCTGGAGTCTCTGCTTTGCTCTCCCTGTGTTTGCAGTCAGCCCCGTCTTTCTGGTATGAGTCTAAATCAGTACAAGCCTGAAGGCTGTCTTGAAAATCTGTCTGTTGCTGTCTTTCTGTGTCTGTCCCTAACAAAAGGCTTTGCTCTCTTTTATCACCTGGGGAAGGAGTGAGGGATGATTTACAGGAGTCTTTAATAGAGTTTCACAAGTGATAAAGTCATTGACTCCAACTGACCCTAAATGATCCAGACAACAAACAGCATTGCAAACATCACTGCAAACAGACTTATCAAACTCTATCAATGTTGTATCCGATATCTTTAGCATATCTTTGCTTTATAACACTGTTTTTAATTCATATTTGCAGTTTAAATAAAATAATTAGCATTACACATATAAACAAACATGCATTTCTCTTGGGTCAGGTCATAGAAGAGTAGATAATTTAAGATTACAACAATATCAGCTTAGGTTGTATAACATGAGAAATCCAAGGTAAATGAGGTTGGCTATTGCATTATTCTTTCAAAGGCAGGTTAAACAAATAGGCTGAGCATACAATAGGATAACACTCTTGAGATTTAAGTGGCGTCGAGGTGTATTATTAACCTTGCTGTGAGGTCCAGCAAATGTTGAGTCTCTTAGAATGTAAGAAATATTCTTATAATCAATTTCTACAAGAGAAACTTAGGAGGGGCTCAGGCAGGGACAGAGACTCTGTACAGCAGAGCTGCACTGTGCTGCCTGACTAAGAGGAGGAAATGTCTACAGTGAAATGTCCAGAGCAGAAAGAGATTTACTTACAAATGTGAAGTCATTGAATATATATGGGATGACCGAGAAATTGAATTATATGTATATATTTGTGTATATATTTACATGTGTTTATGGGTTCACATATGCGTGTGGATGTGCAGGTGTCATTCCTCAGACACGGTCTCTATCTTGTTTTTTGAGACACAGTTGTCTCCCACTGGCCTGGGACACCACGATGAGGCTAGACTGGCTGGGCAGACAGCCCGGGGATGCTCCTCTTTGGCACTGTGATTCTGTGATTACAAGCATGCTTCACTAGGACTTTTTTTTTTTTTTTTTTTTTTTTTGGATAGCTCAGGGGGTGGATTAAATTCAGGTAATCATGGTTGAAAAAAAAACACACTTATATTTTTGGTTGTGAGCCTATCCTTAATGGATAAGCCATCTCTCTTCTCCAAACCAAGCACAACTGCCTGCCCCCCAATGTCAATGAAATGATTTCTAATGATGTTCTGCTGTACTCATAGATCACTGCCCAGCCCTGTCTTCATCAGAGAGGCTTTCTTTAGCAGCTGAGGGGAGCAGAAGCAGAGACCCACGGCCGAGCACTAGACAGACCCAGGGGAACCAGGTAGAAGATGGGGAAGGATTATAGGAGCCAGATGTGTTGACGTGACCAAGAGAACATGGCCCACAGAATCAACTCGGCAGGGCTCATAGGGGTCAGAGAGACTGAAACAACAAACATAGACTCTGTATGGGTCTGACCTAGGTGCTCTGCATATACCCTGTGGTGTGTAGCCTGGCATTCTTGTGGGGCTCCTAACAGTGGAAGTGGGGGTGTCTCTGACTCTTTTGCCTGCTCTTGGCACCCTTCCCTCCTGCTGGGTTGTCTCATTCAGCCTTAACATGAGGGTTTGTGCTTAATCTTATGTCTTGTTATGGTGTGCTTGGTTGATATCCCTTGGAGGCATGCTCTTTCTGAAGGGTAATAGAGAAGCAGTGACCCTGAGAGAGAGGGAAAGGGGATGCTGGGAGGAGTGGAGGGAGGGGAAACTGAGTTTGGGAATGTATTGTATAAGAAAAGAATAAATAAACAAAAAAAGATGAAAAAGAAATTAAAAGAAACAGTTTACTACCTGAGCTTTTCTTTTGCAGCCCTGGATGGTATTTCTGATTACGTAACTTCTACTAGCCAAAATTTCATTGCATGTACAATGTTATAACATATTGTTTCACTCCTCACTCCAAAGCCCATTTACTACACTGAGTCATCTCCTGTGGCTAAAATGCTTGCTGAATTATTGTACCCAGAGCATATGTTAAGTGGGGTACAAGTCATCAAACTGTATCTGCAGATATGTATCACTGGATACACCTTAGTTTGCTATATTGATTATGCAAACAAATTGAGTTATTTCCTTCTCTAAAATAACCAGGTAGATTAATTATTATTAATTGCATCACATTTTATATTCATAGACAACATGCTAATCTTAAACTAGCTTCATTTCATAACTCATTATTTACATATATATCCAACCATGCATTTACCAACCAGATGTTGTGAAATCAGCATTAATATTTACACTCCCAACATACAGATAGCAGTTAGTTAGGAAGTGAAGTACTTAGCACCACCGCTCTATACAGGAAATAGAAACTGGGCACATGGGAATCTACTTCTTAAAAATGAATTTATTTACTCTTTGGCAGCTTCCTAGACGTATATAATATAACTTGATCACACTCACTCTAAACTAGCTCCTTCCACTCACCCTGGGTAAATCACCCTCCCTCCCAAAAAAACTACCTTCTCCTCCCATCTTAATTTTTTATATCACACTGACTCCAGTGCATGCCACCAGCATGTGCTCAGGGAATGTTCCAGTGGCCATACCCTCAAATAAAAATGGCTCTCCCTTCAGTAGTACCCTCAAATGCAAATAGCTCCTCAGCCAGGAATGGAGCCTCATGAACGCTTCCCCCATCAATGCTGAAATTATTGATGGATTAATTGTGCGCAGGTCTTGTGGAATGCATCATAGCTGCTGTGAGTTCACTAGTGCAATGATGATGTAATGCACAGACTCTCCTGCTCATCCTCAGCTCTTACATTCTTCCCATACCCTCTTCTACAATGTTCCCTCAGTTTTGTGGGGGTTGATATATATGATCCATTGGGACTGACAACTAATCATCACTAATCCTCAGCACTTTACCAGTTATGAGTATGCTTCAACTCCTGCATATACACAAAAGTAGCTTCTCTGACCAAGGCTGAGAGTAGAACTGATCTAGAGGTACACAATTTGTGAAAAAATTGATAATTACACTGCATGGACTGATAATGCACAAGTACATCATTATATACTTTTGTTCAACATTAGATCTTTCTTTCTAGCCTGTGTTTCTATCCATCACTCATAACCATCTTTCCATTTTCATTAAGTCCCTCCTGAGAAACCTTCACACAAAGGCCTATTGATCAGAGAACATGTAAATTTGGCTTCCTAAGATAATCACAATGTGAGCATGGATGTTATTTACTAATAAGGAACATGAAAAAAAGTAAAAAGTTGTATTTCCTTTGTGTTTGTACATGTGCATGTGTGTGCATGTGTGTATGTGTGCTTATGCATTGTTCATATGTGTTTGTGTCTGTACATACATATATATGTGTGCATGTATGTGCTTCTTTCTTTGTTGATTGTCACTGCTAGTGATGATCTATTGAGTTAATAATAAACTCAAAACCTGATTTTCTATACACAAAATCTGTACATAGAACTAACAATGATTTTTATGTAAAACTGGGTCATTTATATCTCCAGAAGTTTGTGTGTGCAATTGTTCTCCAAGAAAATGCCCTTTCCCTAATCCATTTCATGTTTCTATGTTTATACTGTTATTCAAACACATCACTTAAGTGACATTTACTGAGAATTTTACTGCCCCTTTGCTCACTGATGCCGATGCTCTTGCTTGTGTACTTGCACCAGTTGTGACTTGGAATTCTGAGAACCAGTAAATATTCATGTCATTAATTAGTGAAAGAGCACAAGGTGTTTGGTGCGAGGGTATTTATATTCTTCCGTATTTTTCAACGACAGGAGTAACTCTTCTGTGTTGTTACTTCTCAAACACTGTCATGAATCCACAAAGCCACATGGTTTTATTTAGAACCAAGTGGTAAAACTGCCTCTTCTACTCCTAGCAGATGCTTGTAAGTCACTACAGTCCTAGTGCTACAGTCCAGATCGCTACAGGAGCAAATACGTTAAGTTTAAAAGCCTTGAAAATGATTTCAATTTGTAGTACCAGCTGCTGTGGGATGTCCTTCTGTATACTGTGAGTGTGTTTCTCTCATTGGTTGATAATAAAGTTATTTTGACTGATAGCCAGGAAGAATAAGGCTGGGTAGGAGAAGGGTGGAGTCAGGAATCAACAGCCAGACACAGAGGAAGCAAGAAGAGAATGTCATACTGAGAAAAGGTACCAAACCACTTGGCTAAACATAGATAAGAATTATGGGGATCCTGCCCCAGGCTTCCCTTCTGGACCAGAGGTGCATGCCCGGGCTCAGCCTAGACCCCATCCCTGGGCACCAGCCACTCCGGGGAAGACCTGCTCAACTTGGCCCCAGGTTCTGGCCACCGGGCAGGTCCCCTTCTAGCCCCACCAGGAAGGCTTCCCTTCTCCAAGACCCCTAGCAGGCCCTGCAATCTCCACACCC